TATATATATATATATATATATATATATATATATATATATATATATATATATATATATATATATACTCACCTTCTAGAAAAGAAAATGTTAACCCTAAAATAATATTTGCAATTACGTTGGTTTTCAGGGAAGCATTAATTGAAAAGGTTAAATGCACATACAAAGACATTATTGGGACCAGTTGAACGGGTTTACAACGCCTCGATTTGAGTATCAACCTCAAGAAAATCTATATTTCCTTTCATCATCTTTTTATTATATTCCAAAAATAAATTTTTAACAGGAGAAAGCATGTGATGATGAACATCTTTTGAAGGCACATATGTCCATATAATTCATAATTTGTATCGTTTACTTTATTTAATGCATGATCACTCTCATTCTTCCCAAGCTTGCCATCTGTGAAAAGTCACTATTCTAACCATGATTATCTTGTACCGAACAAACAACCATGAATATTTCAAGACTACTTGATCAACAACCTTTATACTATACAACAACAAAAAAATCAAAAACTCTACAATATATAAAGAATATAAAAAATAAATTCTAGATCAATCAAGAATCACAAAAAGTGATTTATTATTATAGCATAGATGATAAGTTATAGATTCGATGCATTCTATATATATAGGCATAAGTGTTTGTTTTAGCCTATAATAGAATTGTACTTTATGTTGGTAGTTAAATTTTGTTACTTTAATATAGCCGGTTAACTATAGCTAGTTAGTTAGGTTAAATAGTTAGTTAAATTAACTAAAGTTGTTATATTGTTAGTTTGATGTTAGCAGATAAGGTTTAGCTTAAGCTTTGTACATAAACAATTTATCATTCTTCTTTTGGTAATCAACGAAGAAATTCTCTCATTCATGGAATCTTCCTCTGTTCTTCCATCTTAGTTTACTCTGATAATATGTTATCAGAGCAACTGTTTCTGCCTCGATTACTATGTTTCATTTTTTTTTAATCTTTGATCTTTGACTCAACCTGCTACTAATACAAATAATGATTCTTCCGACGATCCTTATTTCTTGCATTATTCTGATAATCCGGATGTGTTGCTTGTTAATCAAGTCGTTATTGGTAATAACTATGATTATTGGTCCCGGTTAATGAACATATCTCTCTTTGTGAAAAACAAACTTGATTTTGTTATCGGTGTAAATCCTGAAATCGCAACAGTGACATCATTATTTCTTGGATCCTAAGCTTAATTTCGAAATAAATTTCAGCATCCATAATCTACTTAACAACTCCTTTTGGTATACGGAAGGAATTGAAAGAGAGATTTCCAAAACATAATGGACCTCACATTTTTCAAATCAAGCGAGATCTGATGTGCATAGTTCACGGTGATGATTCAGTAAGTAACTATTTCACTAAACTCAAGGATTTTAGGGAAGAACTATCAAATTTTAATGCACACTGTACCTATGCTCTTTGAGCTAAAGAAGTTAAACACACTATAACATTACTCATGGGGCTGAATGAGAAATATCCTCAAATTCGAGGACAAATCACTACAAACAAATTTACATTTAGTGACATAATTTTTTAGTGGCATATTTTATTTTGTGCCACACTATAGATGTTTTTAGTGGCACATATTGTTTTGTGTCTATAAGTCCCTAATCTGCTTGTGTATCAATCAGATCCGTTTGATGGTGCGGAATCCCAATCAAACAGATGATGTCAGATCAAATAGAATAGAAGGAGAAGAAGAATATGATGAATCTTGTATGTATTGATATGAATGAAGATCCGGATACAAGATTCA